ATGTTTTTAATAAACACTAGTGCCTCAAATGTGACAAATTTTAGTTATTTTCATTTATTTTTTGCTCACAGGTATAGTATAAATACTACATCTACATGCACAAAAACGGAATTAACTTTCAACGAATATGTGCGATTTTATCATTCCATTTTTTATCAGTCAGTATTTATTGGAATAAATGTGCTTGCCAATATTATCGGCAACTTATTATAAAATATAGATGCTTTCAAATCCACCATTGTTGACATATAACAAATTGAAATATAATTAACCAGAATGATTATTTGCACCTTGATTTCCTATAATTTCTGTTTGTATTTGTGTTGTGTGTTCAATTAAAGTCTTTGATGGTATATGAAAAAAGTATCGCATAAATCCTATTGCCAATAAAAGGTGCATACCAAGGATTATTACAATATACATTATCCTATATCTGCCTGAAAATTAATATATTCTATCAATTTATTCTCATTGTTTTAGGAATATATTTATAATGTAATACCTGTTATTAAAGGCAACAAAGACCTTAGTAACACCCCTCCAGATAAAAAAGTTGCTACTACGACTAAACTCCACTGCAGCCATTCAATTTGAATTGTCCAAAAAAAAGCTACAGGAATATAAATAGCCAAAGAATAACCATAAAGACATATAAGTTCTAAAAGACCAGGAGTTGCATAAGACTAAAATAAAAGAATATTTCTTTGAAAATTATTATATATTTAAAAAAAAATAAATAGACAATATCAAACCTCAATTAATTCCTCCTCTGTATCTCTTGTGCTTGTAGTCCATTTTAGAGCTCCCCACAAAGTAAGTGGTAATAACCATGCATATAAAAATATACAGGTTGCAGCATAAGATACAATATGAAATTCATACCTCCAATGATATTTACTTGAATTAGCTGTTTGTAAATAATCAGCCAGATTTCCACTAATGGCAATAGAAAATATTAGTGTAACACAAATCCAAAAAGGACCATAAAGATCTGGATTTGGTCTAATATGGGATATCAAATAATTTTCACTACCATGTGGAAACATAGATCTTTTAATTCTTTCTACCACATCATTTGTCTTTACATTAAAGAACTTTTGATAATACTCTATTGTCCAAAAATTGCGTGATGAATTGGCTAGAAAAGAAAAAATAAAATTTTAAAAACGTGTCTAATCAGACATCTAATATTGAAAGTATTTTAAATTATAATATCTATTATGGAAATGACAATACGAATTAAATTCGTAAAATTATCTAAAACTGAATAAAAGATTTTAAAAGCATAAACCTTCATTTTTATCAGGCATTCCCTGAAGATCTTCGATAATACCAATGCCTGAAGTGTCACTTGAGAGGTTATTAAAACCTTGATGAGTGGTCGTGTTAATATCCAATTGTGCTTGAGTAATATTTCCTTCATGATTTATTGAAGGAAAGTCTTGAAACGAAATAAACTGTGAATCACTTGCTTTTGATTGATTTCCATCCATAGCTATTTATTTTGTGTTGTTTTTTCCTATCCGTTTGACAAGGGCGCAGCATACATATTGTAAAAAAGATATATACGTACACGCAACTAATAATCAACCAATCGAAATTAAATATTAATTAATATTTATTGGTATATTTTTTTATATAATTTTTTATAAATTAATGGATATAAAAATAAAAAATATATATATATATTCTATTATACGTATCAATAAACTTATACATTTAGAACTGTGTGTTGTCTTGATAGACAATATATATATATAGATAATATATATACAAAACAAATCTTGTTATATTTTTCAATCCTATATAAATAAAAATGTATAAAATTAACTTTCTATTATTAAAACAATTGTGAATAAATTAATAAAGTGATTAATATCCTTGATATGTTTATTTTAAGATATATTCTTATACTTCGTATTAAATTCGTATTTTTATTTTTAATATAATTAATGCAATCGTATGGTATATAAAAAAGATCGAGTAAATTAATTAATAATAATTATAATAATAAATGACTATGTAAAAAATCAATTTTTGTCATTAAATTTTTTTGAATTGCATCGATGTTTTATTATCCATATTGGTACTGATATATTGGACAGTAGCTGATTAGCTTTATGACAGTTTGAAGGATTTTTATCGAACCGTTTTTTTTAAATATCAATTTGAACACTGAACAGTATTTTTTTTAATAACATTATCAATAATGTATTTTATTGTATAAAATAAGATAATGTACGAAGGTAAAGAAATATTTCAAAATATGTTCTGTTTTTTAATCATTTGTAACTATTTTAAGATTATTTAAATTTTAATTATTTTATTCTTATTAATAATTAAAGAAGAATTTTATTATATATATTTACAAAATACTTAAATAAAAAAATAATTACTAATAAATACATTTAAATATTATTCATTTTTGAATAGGTTAGATAATTCATACTTTTTTATAAAATTGTGTCCTTCTGGAATATTTGGCAGCAATCAAGTACTGAAAACATGATACAACGAGCTCCTAATCTTCTGAAATTTCTTCAAAATATTAATTATTATAACAAAGAATGTTTATATATGTTTCAAGTGGGATATGCAAAAAGACATACTAGTACTTTGATAACATATAATTATAATATAGGAGGTAAATTGCATAGAATTGCAAATCCTCAAAAGATTTTTAATGCAAAAAAAAGAGAACATTCACAAAAATGGAGGTGGATTTTTGTTACAATGTCCAAGCCAATATCTGTCATTGCAAAAGTACAAAAAGAAGATACAGGAAAGATAAATAAACAATCAGAAAATAATGTACAACAAACAATAATAGAATTAAAAGAAGAAAATTTAGGACAATTGAAAGAAAGAAAGTTAGATGTTAAACCTGATGAAGCTAAAGAAGGTCAACAAAATTTGAAGACAGAAGGTACAGAAGGAAATATAGTCAAAAAAGTATAGTAAAAAATTTTTTTATTGATTTTTAATTTTTTTTAAAAATCATTATATGTTTTTATTTTTGCTATTATTTATATTCATATGTTTAATATCATATATTTATTTATAGCTAAAAAGAAAAAGATGGATAAAAAAGTATCATCTTTAGAACGTAATTTTATTACACCAGTTAGAGCAATGTCTGATTTTTTATTGAAACCATCTGATCTTGAAAATCTACCAAAGACAAAAAGAAGATCACCTTATGAATTTGAACCTCCAATTACTGTTTATTGGAGAAAAGATGTAGAAGCTAAGTAAGATATATATTTTAAGTGAAATATAATGAAATAATCATTCTTATAATAAAAATTACACAATAACATTTAAGATTCTGTAATTACTTTCAGAGCAATAGAAGTTTGGGGATCACGAGAAATTTTAGAAAAAGAACTTCTTAAAAAAGAACTTGAACGGAAAGCATATCAGCAAAGTAAGAATAAAATTCTTTTTTTTTAAACATAATAAATTTTAAATTTTTGTACATATATTTCTATGTATGTTTAAGATTAAATCTTTATAAATAGATTAATATATTATTTAAATTATAGTTAAAGCTTTATTTCATTTCCTTTTTACAGATTCATTTTCATGCATTAATTAATCTTTTAACTTAAATATTTTATCATTTCATAGATATATTTACTGTCAAACGAAGATTAAGAGATTATAGACGAGAAATGGGTAGTAAAACCCAAATTTTTGAACAGGAAGGCCTTCTTGGAAGATCTGGTAAAGTGGTTTTAACTGCTATTGCCATGTAAGTACTATTCTTCATTTATATTTGAAAATATTTCTTTTCTTCTATTAGCTTACTAAATTAATCTTTAATACATTTTTTAGAAATGGTTGTAATTTTTTATTTAAATTGTGTGCTTGGTTGTACACTGGTTCGCACAGTATGTTTTCGGAATGTGTACATTCTGCTGCAGATACATGTAATCAGTTAATATTAGCATATGGTATTCATAAATCAGTACAAGTATGTATATTATGTCATATAAAATTAAATATGTATATATATAAATAATTATATATATAAAATATTATAATTATATTATATTTGAAATATTTTTTTTTTAGACTCCTAACCCTGATCATCCATATGGTTATACAAATATGAGATACGTATCTTCTTTAATATCTGGTGTTGGTATCTTTTGCGTTGGAACTGGTCTATCGATTTATCATGGAATCCATGGTCTTTTTTATCCTTCGCCAATAGAATCTTTTTATTGGGCATATTTTATAATATTTGGTTCTTTAGTATCAGAAGGAGCAACTTTATTAGTAGCAATACAATCAATAAAAAGAGGAGCGGAAGAAAAACGACAGACATTTAAAGAATATGTATTAGCAGGACAAGATCCATCCGTGAATGTTGTACTCACGGAAGACTTAGCAGCGGTATTTATTAGATAAAAAAAAAAAAAAAAAAAAAAAAAAAGAATAGAATTAAATATAATTGAACATAAAATATTCTTTTAAAATTTATAGGTGATTGGTCTTGTATGCGCAGCCGCCTGCATGGGTTTAACTTCTCTTTTAGAAAATCCAATGTTTGACGCAATTGGATCTCTTTTGGTTGGTGGTCTACTTGGTGCAGTAGCTGGATTTATAATACATACAAATGCTGCTGCTTTAATTGGAAGAAGTATATCTCAAGAAGATCTTGACAAAATTAACGCGGAATTGGAATCGGATATAATGGTAATATTTTTATCTTTGTATTTTATTAATTATAATTTTGAATAATTTTATTTAAATTAATTATTTATCAGGTTCGAGCAATTTATGACGTTAAAGGTATCGATATGGGTAATAATTTAGTTCGGTACAAGGCTGAATTAGACTTTGATGGAAGAGAATTAACAAGATCTTATTTAGAGAAACATGATCTTGTTGTAATGTTAAAGGTAATAGTCTTACATCCAAGAAATATTATATTAATTTTAAAATTTTATTCTATTCTTTAGGAAGTAACAGGCATGACAGATATAAAAGAATTGGAAGCATTTATGTTAAAACATGGAGAAGCTATTGTAGATATGCTTGGTGGAGAAATAGATAGAATGGAACTGAATTTGAAGGTATTTTAAAAAAATTTTATATCAATTTTTAATTTCTTAGTATATAATTTATTGTTATTCTTTAATAATAATTTTAATTTTTTTCTTATTTTTAGAAAAAACATCCAGAGATTCGACATTGCGACTTGGAAATTTTGTAAATGTTTCTACGCAATAAAACAGAACTAATAAATTAAACGTAAACTTTAATGTAAATAATGTTTCATAAAATTTGCGCAATGTATCGTATTTACTTTGTTGTATTTACATAATATTTATATAGATAGTATGCTTATTTTTCTTTATATACCAAAAAAAAAGCTAAATAAATGAATTTCTTATATATATATGTATATATTATATACTATAATATATACATATATATATACTATATACTATAATATATACTTCATATTTAATTTACCTTTAGATTTATCATAATTATTATAAAAAAAAATTGATGTCCTTAATTATCGATTTTCTCTATGTACTTATATATTTTAATGTATTGACAACAAACCGTTACTATAGTTACTTTCCCTATTTACGGAGAAATTACGGAGGAATACGCTGGTTATTAAACTGTTCTTGTTTCTAGTGAAGCGAATATATTTAAATATGATGTGTTCTAATTATGATACAATAAGATTCAATAAAGAATCGGTAGAATGAGTCGATCAACCGAAAGAATTCCAAAACGATGGAATATCTCGGAAATTCCACGCAGGAACGAATCAAGCAATACCGAGGAGTCTTCGTCACTTACCGACAGTACTCCGTATTCACCGTATCTCCAGAATACTAGCACACCTCTTAAAACTAGAAGGACAAATTTAGAAGAAATCAAAAAATCTCGAAGAGGACAAGAAAAATTTGAAGATATCGAAAAAGCGTCCTCTAATAAAAAAAGATTGGAAAGATTTCAGAAACATAGAAAACATATTAGTCGAAGAAAACAAGATAATGAAAGAGTTATTGAGAAGCAAAAAGAAGAACACAATCGACGTGATAAACGAAAACATGAATATTCTGAGGATTTTGGGGAAAAGAAGCAAAACAAAACGGATTCTGATTCAGAGTCTGATTCGGATAAAAATTATAGTGAAAGTGATTTGGAGAAATCGAAAAGAAAAAAACATGATTTTACAGGTAAAAGTAAATTGAATAATTTCAATAAAAAATTAAAATATTAAATATAAATTTATTTTTGTTTTATTAGGAGATAATGAATTACCGATTACAGAAATCTTAAGAAGATCACAAGAAAATACACAAAATAAATATGAAGAACAAGCGTCATTTCCTGTATTAAATACAGATAAAGTTTATGTACAGTATAAAGGTGGTTTCACTACTATGAAAATGAATCCATCAAAAGATCTATCCATGAATTCTTCTAAAAATAAAAAAATCGAAAAAGACGCTGTTGATCCTATTGATAATCGAAGTTCTCCACCTATAAAAATAGCCATTTCGATTCAACAATTTTGGAAAAGAGCAGGTCTTTTATGTCAAGGTATTTTAGCTGGTACAGCATTAATGCATTTTATAACGGTACGTTTTTTTGATGTAAAAAACTTTTTGTAATTGTGTTTTAATTAATTTTATTTAATTTTTTTTCAGTTATGCACAGTTTTTAGTAATTCCATGGAATTTATTGTAAAATATTCAAAATATTCCGAAATTTACACAAATAATTTCTCATTTCTTATCGCTTTATGCATTGTGGCAACATTTGATAAGTAAATTTAATTTATTAAAAAACTAATTACTCTTCAAGCTTTTAAATAAGATTGTATTTTTTAGATTTGATTTGGCACGATTCGATATAGAGCATCTACGTGAGCTTTATTTTGATTATAATAAAGCAATAATCGCAGTTCCTTTGTATCTGACCATTTTTTGCCTTCATCAAATTTGTGCAGAGATTGACAATAAATTAAGTTCAATCCATTATTACAATTCCAACATTTCTATATTGCAAAACGTAAATAAAAAATAATGTATTTGGTTTTAAAGCAAAACATTTTTTTATATTAAATATATTTTAGATCACTAATATTCAATCTCTTCTGGACGAATTGAATAACTGGCAAAAAATATCCATCTCGAAAGACGTACTTGCAATGTTTGCATGGTTATTTGTTGCTCTTGGTACCAGGGACGATTCATTTTTAATATATCTACAGTCAATGAAAAAATATATAAACGATATTGAGACTTCTGGATAATAAATCAATTTCTTTGGGATAGATATTTACTTAATTTATATTACCATCATATGGCATAAGGATAGCAATAGGATAAGGATAGAGATAAAATAAAAATATGGAAATCAGCACTATCTTCAGGATGCTATTTAAATAATAAATAAATAAATAATAACAAACAGTGATAAAAGGATAGAAATAGAATAAGAATTGATCATTGACGCCATCTTTTGAGTATCAAAAACATCTCTTCAAAAAGAGGATAAGATAGTACAAAGATTGAAAATCAGTGCCTCTTAAATATTTTTAGAAATATTATTTGAAAAGAATATTTTTAATATTTAAAAAATGACGAACAATTCTTACTCTTTCTATTTTTCTTCTGTTATTTTCTATTCTTGATTAATTAGTTTTATTTATAGGACTCTGAAAATGCGTTGATTTGTATATTTTTATTTTCTATCTTTTTTTTTTTACTGTATTTGCGTATTTGTTGTGCATTTATATGTTCAAAAAACTGCTTCAATATGATTAACAATTGAATTGGCGTAATTTTAAATTCATGAATAATTCAACTGTCTACTACATACTACATAAAAAATATCTATGAATACAGTTCCATATATTGTATAAAAATATTTGTGAAAAAATGTTAAAGAAATTATTTTTAAAATCTGTAGAGTTTACCATTTTTCTGATAGAATTGAATATAATTCTTACTCTCTAACATGTAAAATGTTTTGATCAGCATTTCAGAACATAGGATATAAAATTCTACTTATCGTTAGGTATATCCTCGTATCATTTATGTTTATGTTATGTTATATCATTTATGTTATATCATTCTATTTATTATAATAACAATAAGAATAATGTATTTATATCTTACGATTATAGAATACACAACTGAATAAAGATTAAAAAATTGCACTTTTTTTTGGGAAGACGTGTTTCTTTTCGAATATATTGAAGTAAAAGTTCTATCTTCAATAATTATGTTTTTTTAAGCTATATCAGAAATATTTAAGAAAATGCGATTCATACGATTTCAATATTTATTCGTAACAGAATAGGGTTTGATATGTACAATATTTATAAAGTTCTAAATTCTAACAGATAATACACATATATGTAATAAAATACCAATAAAGGATAAAATAACATGTGGCGCGATGTTGTAATAATAAAATATCTTCTTAGACTTTGTCTTGAGCGCGGCACCAAGTTGAGTCGACGATTACGTAAAGAAATTTTCAAGGTTTTCAAATAAAATAACAAAATGAAACAAGAGGATGCATTAAACTGTCGCATCAAAAAAAGATTAACGTTAAATACGTCGAATGCGTTTCCTTAAAACAAAATAAGGGAAGAGCATTCTTGCGCGTAATCGTCGATGCAACAAGTGCTCTCGTTGTATGACAAACTTTGCTATAAATAATGTGCGAAGGCTTTTATTAATCCGCGAAGCAACAGATAAATATATATACTATATATATATTATATTATTATATAATATATATATCATATACGAATAAATACTGTACGTACATTTACATCAGTTATCAGTTTTCTCTGCACGAATTTACAATCGGCGATATAATTTAAAATATTATCTCAACTTAACGCTAACTTTGTCAAGGCACTGTTTACAGTTCTATCCGAGGTCTCGATTCTATTGAAAACCATCGTCGTTCTCTTTTTTTTTTTTTTTTTTTTTTTTTTTTTTTTTT